AAGAGTTGTTTTAAATCGCAAATATATTTACACTGAATTTTAATATTTTATCATTTTAAAGTCTAATAGTTAACCAATCGTGCAGTAAACTTTTGCGAAAGTAAACAACTTGTGTTTCGCGCGCTCATATGACCTTACGCAGTTGCGAGCGCCTTAAAACCCTATACTACTACTACTAAACTGACAGTTTAACCGACGGACGCTATATCTGGGGCATCATTGAACTGACTGTTTCTCAACGAGAGAAGTTCCGTTTAGACGTACAGTTTTTTATCCTTAAAGTGTCAGTCGCACAAAAAGAATTTAACCCGGTACGGTAATGCGGTATTAAATTGCATTCCTAGAGCGATTTTTTCTAATTTTTGGGGGCTAATCACGAAAATCTCATTATCTTTTAAATTTAGCCAATATTTAGGAAAATTTTGGAACACATTTTCTACTCCGCCTTGGGCAACATCAAAGAAGCCTCTCCCTCATCTTCATGCCTTCAAATATCAACTGTATTTTTCCAGTGAGAGCAAGGTATTCTATGCTTTTTTTAACATTCAGTAATCATGCTTTTCCTCTTCTTCCTCAGGACATTGATCTGAACCATTGTCGCATCGGAAAGATTCGTAACTTGGATCAAACGACAAATGCTGAGGTAGTTTATGATCTTCTTGTGACAGGAATAGCCCCCACCCCCCTGTTATCTCAGTACTAATGCAGTTTTTTAAAACTGCCTTTATTTAGATATTTATTCTAAAGTATCCTAAATTGAGATTCCTTTAAAGTTTTCCTAGCTCCAGGGACCCAAATTTTCCTTTTTCTGGTGTTGCATTTTGGTCCAGACTCACCTTGCACTCAAAAGTAATACTGAAACATGCAGAGACACAACTATTATAACTCGTAAGCCATCAATTGGTCCAAATACACCATGCTCTTTTATTCTTACTCCTCGGGAGAAAAAAATGGTGAAATGGTATAGGTTTAACGTTACTCCACAGACGTTGTGCCTGCGGCAGAACCTGGTGAAGAAGATTGAGGGTCTCAGCTCATTGATACACCTCCGAGAGCTGGACCTGTATGACAACCAGATCACTAAGATGGAGAATCTGGAGGCGCTGGTCAACCTGGAGTAAGTTGTGCGAACGCATTGGAGATCAATGGGGTTCTTGGGAAGGGCTGCGTATTCACTCAGCACTTGGAGATGATTTACAAGTTTGACTGGTGAATAAACTATTGAGCTGCAAGAAGCACAATCATTTGATAAAATCAGAAGAGCAGGTCTTGAAAAACGTTAGCACATGAACGTAATGCCTTATGATTTTCACTGTTCTACTTGGTTATTTTAACTTGTTTGTGCAATCTGAATTCTAAGATTGTAAATGTATGGAATCGTGGTGAAATTAAGGGGAGGAGCAACACTTGATTTTGCCGATTTTGGGTCGGGCTATGCACGATGAGATGTTGGCTGATTTTTGAAGGTCAACCAGTTCTTTGTCTAAAAATAGCATGGAGACAGTTGAGAAAGTCTTTATTCTTCTCGTAAATTGCCTTTGAAAACATGAAGGTGGGTAATACAGTAGTCTCCGCCTAAGATCCCGGTGCTCGGGAGCAAGGAAATGCGGGATCTTAGGCGAACCGGGATCTTAACAGATGAACCCAGGGAAGAATCTATGGCGACTCATGATAAGGCTCACAATCGATAAAATGGTCTCCCTCCACTCTAAGATGAACTGGCGTGCCCCCTTGGTGGGTTTATGGCATATGGCGAGCGAAGAGTGGTTAACTTTGATGACCTATCGCAGTGCATAGGGGCATGAGGCGACCTTTTTCACTTATTATCCTATCATGAGTCTCAAGATCTACGCTTTTCCAGATACCCCTCCCCTTTACCTGTCATAAATTTACAGCTTTCCATCTCTGACTGAGCCCCCCCCCCCCCCCCCCCAAACCGCCTTTGTCGTTACACACCATTACGTTGTGAACACACCAATTAAAATTCAGTCTGTCTCGCAAATTCGGGAGTAGAGACAGGTGCTAATGGTCGAGGAAGAGTTCACAGTTCAATGTGATCCCGCCTGGAGCGAACGTGTAGGCCCTACCCACCCAGCGAGTGATGTAAGTTTAGGGGGATAGCTCAGGTGTGAGTGCGATGTTCGGGGAAAACAAACATGTCGGTCAGTTCACACCCCGGTGTGATCCCGTCTGGTGCAAACATTGTATCGCTTCATCGAGTTTTACAACGTGTATGTGATCACATTCCTGATAGTCGCTGATCTTTGACGCGACTGACATTTTATATTGATCTCAACTTTTCACTCTTGGTTGATCGGCTGTCCTGCCCGCGTTTTTGTTCCGCAAATTATGATCTGAAATGCGGAATCTTAGCCGAATGTTGACCTTCAGAGTGAATCAGAGCAGGATCTTATGGGTGACTTTTGTATAGTAAAAATTTTGTTTTCTTAAAACAGCGGGATCTTAAGCGAACCGGGATCATAAGCGGTGGGATCTTAGGCGGAGACTACTGTATAGAGAATTTTCACAATTGTCGTTTTTCGCAAAATGTCATTTTTTAAACAGTTTTTTCCCCTACTCCTTCCTTAGTTTTCATCCTTTTGACATGAAACTTCCAAGAAACATAGATGGCAGTACTACCATCAATGTAACAGAGAGATATTTGCGAAAAAAATAAAACTTTTCCATAGGCAAGGGATTACGCAACCTAAATTTAGAAAAGTTTTTTTATACTTTATGAAAATTTTCTTTTTTTTTCTTTCTTTAGCACTTGTTGAAAAAAACTCGCTGTTACGCTGATAGGGTCTGGTTCAGGTATACTTTCACCATATTTGATCAAATTTGGTCAGTAAATAAAAAAGCCTTAGGGATTTGTAATTCATTGTTTATTTTCAAGATGGCTGCCATTTCCTTAGCAACTGCTGTAGCTATGCCAAAATAAAATTGCGTATCAAGAGATTTTACTATGCCTAGCTTATATGTGTACTTAGATTTGATCTTGGGCTACAAACATAGAAAATGATCCTCAAGGGTCGCTCATCCTCTTAACGCATTCGTCAAAATAATAAAATCTGAGAAATTGACATTTCCTAGGCTAGGGGTGCAATTTTTTTTTTTTCTCAACACCTTTTATATCCATTTTTTAAAATATTTTTGTGTGGATTTTGCTTTAAAATATTGATAAAAGACACAAAAAGATGTAAATATCGTCAGCAGAGAATTCTAACCGTCTAACTCGAAATTTTTTCGAATTGCTTTTTTCCTTAAAATAGATCGACATAACGAATGGCTACGTCCTATTAAAATCTAGAACAATTTTGACAAACAAAAGTCTTGTTTTAAAGAGAAATTCTAACCGTATATTCCGACTGACTTCCGTGACTGAAGAATTCTAACCGTCTAATTCGTTTAGGTAGCCCGTCATTGTGGATCACGGCGATAACGTTTTGCTCTGAAGGAGGCGTTTGATTATAAATAAAATGTAAAATCAGAAAAGGCTGCTTTTGTTAAAGGGTTGGTCGACTGTGTCGAGCCTGTGGAGAAAAAGGAAAGAGAAAGCAGAATATCGTGGTCCATGAAGTACCATCTGCGAGTGAATGGGGCCAGAGTAAAAGTGTGCACGGCTTTCTTCTTAAGTCCTATACTTTGTTACTAGTGTGTTCACATTGTTCTTACATCTGGGTTGGGTGTAGCAGAGGTTGAGGTTCCAGTTCAGAGAAAAAGGGTTAGGGAGGAGACTACAGCATCAAAGGTACTTAAACAGTTTCTTCGTGATCTGCCCAAGTTGCCACATCACTATTGCCGAGGGACTCCAGTAAATTATACTTGGAACCTGTTTTCCAGAGCTTACAGGCAGTGTACCGCCGTTTGTATAAAGAAAAGTATGAGTGTGTGTATGTGGGGGGGGGGGGGGGGGGTATGTGTATGTTATGTCTCAAATGAATTCAAAGGTGCTCTGACTGCAAATAAATTTGCTCCTTGTGTGGTTGATTTTTTGTCATCTGATTTGACTTCAAATCATTATATTCAGATGGATGTGGTTGTATCAGAACTGCAAAGTCACAATGAGTTCTGCACTGTTATATTTCAGCTCTGTCAAAGGTAAAACTGTAACATTAACATTCGTAGAGAAGGGCTATACACAGATGGAGTTGGACAGTGCTCACAGCACATCTACTACACAGCTGATTATGTCAGGCTAATGGAAGACAGTAGGAAAGTGAAGCCATATGTAGTCAAGTATTTGACTCATTGTATCTTTTCTGATTTCATCAAACTAACCAACCAGAGTTTTCACACCAGATGGTCAAATTAAATACAAACTGAGATTTGATGATGACTGGTCACATCTGCCTTTGAAGCGCGGCGAGCCCACAGACATTCTCCATAAAGACATGAAGGGACTGCCTCTGTACCAGGGTAGAAAGTTTAATTCGTCCATAGAGAACTTTAATAACACATGCAAGAAATGAAGTCTGTTGCGCCATCTGACTACCAAAAGTTCTATGACAATCTAGAACTGAGTACGTCACCAGTAAGCAAGTTAAAACCCACGGTTAAGTCTAATTTGATATGCAGTGTATTGTGTTTTGGTTTATGTAGTTTATTTTTTAGCTAACCAGAACTTTAGCTTCATTGGGTAGAGCATTTTAAAGCGTCATAATGGTGCTTGGACAAGAGGATAATTCATTCCTGTTGACACTGGATGCTGCTATGGCATACCTCATCTTGATGACTTTCTATGTAAAATGTGTTATTTAGTTAGGCCATATATTAGGTGGGGATGCATTATATGAGATTTAGTTGAGCTTTAAAAAAAATCATATTACTTCTAGAGTCTTCCAACCAAGTTAAACCATGTTTTTAGACTTAGAAGCATTTCAGTTTCTTCCACTGGAGAACTGATGGGTCGCTTTTCAATCTTGCTCAACTTCAAGCCAAGACCAACATCAACAAACCAAACAAGAATACGAGACCTTTTCTTTGCCGGTGATGCTGCTGTTGTCACTCATAATGAATCAACCCTACATATAATCCTGTGTTTAAGAAGATTGAGATGGCTGGGCCATGTCAAGAGAATGGACGACAACCGGATTCCGAAGCAATTTCTCTATGGACAGCTTGCCCATGGAAAGAGACCAAGGGGAAGGTCAAAACTGAGGTACAAAGACATCTGCAAAAACAGATGACCTAAGCTTGGAGTAGATGTCAGCATATGTGAAGAAATAACCGAGGACAAGAAAACATGGAGGAAAATGATAAATGAAAGAACTATTATGCTAGTGACTAGAGAGCAAGCACTGCGACAGAATCTGCACTTCAAACAGAAAAAATTAGCCATAAAAGAAGCTCCATGAAGACAATTCGTATACGGAAATTCTTCTCTGCCCCCCCCCCCCTCTCTCTCTCTCTCTCTCTCTCTCTCTCTCTCTTTCAGACCCCTCCCCCTCTCTCTCTCTCTCAGTCCCTCCCCCCTTCTCTCTCTCTCAATCTCTCTCTCTCTCTCTCTCTCTCTCTCTCTCTCTCTCTCTCTCTCTCTCTCTCTCTCTTGTAACTAGACAAGAAACCAATCCTTCTCACAATTTCCTTGAGAATGGAGGATCAAATAGTAGCTTTATAGTAAAAACTTAACGACGCACTTAATCTGTCGACAAGCCCATTGCCTAATTAGAATTATGTGGAAATAAAGTGCGACGTTCAGTTTTAGATATAATAACAGTATTATTGTTTTGATTCTAGATCTAATGTACTATGTAGTACTAATTAGAACTTTTATAGTAGGTTTCCTATTGGATTGACTGCAGGTGTAGTCATTTCTAGTTGTTCGGTAACACTAACGTGTGACGTGGACTGAGTTAGACGTAACGAAGCGCGTGGCGTCCCCGCCGGGTTGGAGAATTCTAAACGAACGATTCGTTCGTCGACACTTGGACGGTCAGAACTCCAAAACTGAGCGGTCTATCCGTATGACTCTGGTTTAGGACTTAAAATAATAAAATTTCGGCAATTTTGTTTTAAATACTTAAAAGTAGAGTCATGTATTCCAGTCTAGCGCATTTAAAGACAGTAAATCGCCATAAGAGCCTTTGAATTCCGTTTTTTGTCTCTCCTGTAAAA